AATCTAAAATTTAAAACACTGAAAAGTTAAAATATCCTAAAACTGAAAAATGGAGAAATCCAAACATCACAAAATCAAAAATAAAAATAAAAATAAAAATCTAAAATTTAATAATCGAAAAACTGAAAAACCAACGAATCGAGAAGTCGAGAATTTAAAAAATTGGACAATTGAAAAATCGGATAAATCCAAAATCGAAACATCGAAAAATCGAGAAACCGAAAAGCAAAAAATCGAAAAACCAACAAATCGAAAAATCGAAACATTGTAAAATTCAAAAATTGAGACATCGAGAAATCGAAAAATCAAAAGACAAAAAAAATCGAGGAGTCGAAAAATCGAGAAGTCGAAAAATCAAAAAATTGAGAAACCGAAGTAGGCCAAAATCGAAAACTTAAATATGGAAAAAATTGATAAAGCGAGATTGAATAATCAAAACATCGAAACATCCGAATCTCAATGAATTGAGATCTCAAAAAATTTAAACATTCGTAAATTTAAAAAATTAAAATATAGAACTTGAAACTCGAGAAACTGAAAAATCTAGAAATTTAAAAATTAAAATATGAAAAAGTTGAAAAATTGAGAAATTAAAATAAAAAACAAAAAACTGAAAATCCAAAAATAAAAAATAGAAAAATCTAGAAGTCGAAAAATGAAAGAATCGAGGTATTGAAAAATATCAAAACTGAAAGAAATATCCAAAAATTGAGAAATCGACAAACCAATAAAGCGAAGTCGAAAAATCGAAGAATTGAAGAACTGAAAAATCGAAACTTTGAGAAGTGGGAAAATCAAAAATAGATTAATTGAGAAATCAGAAAACTGAAAATTTAACTCAAATATTTGAAAAATTCAAAAATTTAAATACTGAAGAACTGAAAAGTCAAAAAATCGAGAAATCGAAAAAACTAAAATTTAAAACAATGAATAATTAAAATATCGCAAAATTGAAGAATCGAGAGATCCAATTCAATTTGAAAAATTGAAAAATCGAGGCATTGAAAAATTGGAAAACCCAGAAATTGAAAAGCTCAAAAGAAAAAAATTGAAAAACCGAGAAATCCAAAAATCGAAACATCGAAAAATTCAAAAACTTGAGACTTCGAGAAATCGAAAAATCGGAGGATCGAGAAATTGAGGAGTCGGAAGCCGAAAAGGAAAGTTAAAAATTGAAAAATTGAGAAATCGAACAATCAAAACAACGAAACATTTGAATTCGATAAATTGAGAAATCAAAAAATTGAATAATCGAAAAATTTTAAAAAAGAAAAACTGGAAAATCAAAAATTAAAATTCAAAAAATCGAAAAATGAAAAATTGAAATATAGAAGAACTGAAAACTCGAGATATCGAAAAACCTAGAATTTTAAAAAATGAAATATTAAAACATCGAAAAGTTTAAAAATTGAGAAATCGAAGCATTAAACAGTCCCAGAATTGAAAAATCTAAAGTTTACAATAAATGAAAATCCAAAAAGGAAAAAAGCGAGAAATCAAAAAAAAATCCATCAATTCAAAAATCGAAAAGTCGAAAAATTGAAATATTGAAAAATTTCATAACTAAAAGAAATATTCAAAAAATTGAGAAATTAAAAAATTCGAAAATTGAGAAATCGAAAATCTAAAAAAGCAAAATTGAAAAATCGTAATCTTAAAAAATCGAAAAATTGAGGAATTGAAGATGTGAAAAATCGAAACTTTAGGAAATCCAGAAATGGACAAATAAAAAAAATACTTTAGAAATCGGCAAACTGAAAATTTAGAAACGTGAAAATTTGAAAAATTGAAAAATCGAAATATTTAAAAACCGTAAAATTGAAGAGGACAAAAATTGAGAAATCGTATCATTGAAACATCGTAAGATTGAGAAATCGAAAAATAAAAAAATCGAGAAATAGAAAATTTAAGGAATGGAGGAATCGGAAAAGCCCAAAATTGAAATATTGAAAAATTGAGACATGTAAAGTTGAAAAGTCGAGAAATCGACAAGTCGAAAAATCCCAATAGCGTATTTAGGTATAAATCACAAGATCAGGACTATTCTACTTTTTAAAATTTAAATACATAACATTATAAATTGGAAAATGTTGATTTTTTTTTTCCAAAAATCTTGACGTCTAAGGTGAAAACTCGACACGGATGCATAAACCGTAAACGGGGCCAAACTACCATTTTACTCTTGTAAAATTTGGAGATTGCGTCATTTCATTGTTCGTGACAAATTTTGGAGAGTGTAATTTGATAATACAATTTGAAATGTAAATTTTGTCATTCGGGAACATTATGTATTAAATCGTTAAGATGTTCAAGAACTTTGTTCACTTATTCGTTGTAAAGTCCAATGGTCGAAATGGGTTAGTTCTTCGTAGTGGATGTATTGTATCACATCAACTCTAACGAATATCGGTTTATAGATAAATCGCTTAAAGCCGATATTGGCCTGAGTGAGCTTTGGTCTGTAGATCAAACAAGTTCTCAGGCGACGAAAAATTGCATGTGAACCTATAAGGGATTTTTTCATGCCTTAGAAAATTAAAAAGTAAAAAATACAATAACAAAAATTTTAAAATGCGGTTTACGAAAAATTAGTTGACCTGTGCAAAGAAGAAAATTTTGGAAACGCTAACAAATATGACATCTTAAAAAAAAAAACACTTGAAGAAGTGCTTTCGGCGTAATGTTTTTGATGCTCGCGTGAACAAAATACTCTGTCAGTGTGCAGTGCGCAAAGAGTTAACTGTGCAGATCTAGCCGAAAATCCGAAAACCAAATCGCTGTGTGTAGGGCCAGCATAACGGAAGTAATAAATCATCCCATCGGTTGAAGAACGTTGGGTCGGTGCACTGATGTCGGTATTATGTCCTGAGAGGTGCCCAATACACCCAATAAAATGGAACAGACAAAATAAAGCTTCAAACATGATTATTTTTATACTAAAATTCTGAAGTTTATAAACTGCACATTTTATTTATTTATTTATTTATTTTATCTTGTTTTCGAACTATAATAAACATTTCAAACAATGTCTGTAACTTATTTTAATGTAAATTACATTCATGTGGTTAACAAAATCAGATGTAATATTACTGTGATTTTGACCTTATTCTAGATTTTATTACAGCAGAACGGCGTATCCTTTTTAAATTTTAGAAGTTACGGAAACTAGTTCAAGAAACAATTAGTTATCTCGGATTTTTGGAACAAAATCTACCAAAATGTCCGATAACAGCAATTGTTTTTCATAGAAACAAACAGTCTTCAAAGCAGCCTTTAACAACTCGATATTACAAACATGCCTCTTAAATTCTTTATGCGTTTTTTTCTCTCTTGTAATTATTTGCCGAAAGTTTATGTCATTCTGTTATTTACTTTGAACATATATTTTCATTTTGTGTTAATATTTTTGTAACACCACGAATCTAAATTTTACTTAAAATCTTGTTTTACTTTAATCTTGTAAAACTAAACAATTATACCAGTTTAAAAACCCGTGGAAAGTTTCTGTCAGTCTTCAGATATAGTCAAATAAAAATATGCGTCAAATTCATTTAAATTCAATTCTTTCTTATCACGTTACAATGCGTTGCTTCATATTTTTTATGTCAAGTATATTTTCATATTTTGTACATATATGTTTATACACATTACTGTTTACGGAACAATGTTAATTATGGATTTATGGATAACTCCTCGTATAAGAGCAGAGTGAAGGGTGTTTGCCTTTGCTAATGTTTGATGGCGCCATCTGATTTAGAGTAAAATAAACCTAATACGTTGGCTCACTGTAGTGAAAATGCGCGTTGACGAAAAATTTGTCCCACGCCCCCTGGATTCCTTGTCCTAAAGCTCACTATTTAGGCGAAGTAAAATTTGTATTAGGTTGTCCAACTATAATATACTTAAACAATGATAGTAGTTTCCAGAGTTTGAAACAATTTTTTGAAAAATGAAGTCACAGAATCTTGAAACTATATTATTGGTCTTGAGGTTTTCGTCTACGGCTGGCAGTAAAACAAGAGTGAGAAATCGTTCTAGTTTCTGAAAAAAAAGCTCAAACTTGTGCTTTGAAATTTATTTTGTATTTAAAGCTGTTCGCCTATATTCCGCAAAGTTCGTAGATATGCAACAAATTTGTGAAGTTCGTTAACTGTTCGCGACACTTCGATAACCCCTGTCTTAGACACTGTGTGAAATTTATTTGCGAATAGCCCGAAATCGCCTTAAATAAAGTCCTCGAAGCCGGCGAAAAAATCTTCCCCAACTTCCAACCTCATGACAACTTAATCCAAACCGCCGATCAATATTTACCTTGGATAAGCGACCGACTGCTAATCCCAAAGCAAACTCGCGAATAACATACATAAAGATGAATCGTGTTTGTGCATCCATTTGAAAACCAGTAAAATAGTACCCGGTCAATCCATAACCGTCACGCGTCAACCGTTCGCCTTTAAAGTTAAACGCAAACATTCCCGGCTAATCCTGTTTGAGCAGGTTTAATCTTAAGAATGTGCGTCGCATCCCGGAATATTCTAACCGGCGACGAAGGTCAGGGTTTTTATTTATTATTCGTAGATAAAATATCGCATAAATACGCCGAAAATATGGTCTTCTTTTGGCGCAGTCGAACGGATAGCAATTGTGGCCCGACCGACCGAACGCTGGAAAAAATTAAGCCATACGCAAGACGGATAGGATAACATCGGGTTAAATTGAAGTAAAAGAATTGGAAATTTTTTCGGGGATTCGGAGGAACGCTTAGGGAAATTACTGGTTTAAATCACCCGGACTTGCTTGACACGTTCTTATAAAGCCGATTTTTTGCCAACAACAGAAAGTACCACGCCCAGGTGAATTAATTTCCAGCCTCGTTTTAAAACGTCGGTCTTATCGGATACCACTTAACATTCATACGGTGTGAGTGAATCCCCTAAATCGCGTAAATGTGCCTCACAAATGCGGCACTTAACCCGCCACTTTGTTCTACGTCCACTCACCCTTCTTGCTGGCATGGAAGCTGTCATCACGTGGCACGTATTGGATATCATACACGAGGGATGTGTACGGCAGCAGGGTTTTATCCTTGTTGATTTTGTAGACGGCATATTTGAAAGCTAATTCTGTAGCGCTGTCTCTCTGGTCCTCGGTAAATATCGCCCCTGAAATTACGACCCTTCAATTAGTGCGAGTGCTGTCGAAAGGCATTATTCGTTACAAGTGGTGTGATCTATGACGCGCGGTAATTTCTGCGAAACTTTGGATTTTTATCGTTTCAGAATTTCATTTTATCTAAAAATTGCAATCAATCCGCTCCGCGAGCCTCAAACGACAATATATATCCGCATATTTTAACAAAATTCTTCGTCCTCGAAATAAAAGAAATTACCCAATCGCCCCTCTCCGATAAACCAGATTGACGGCCATCAAAGGCAGTTAAGTTCGCAAATGCGCCCTGCTGTCATCCAAAAACCCGCGTAACTGAGACAGAAGGCAATTATGTCCGACTGTATATCTTCTTTCCGGCAGCGTTCGATACGTCACGCATTTCTTCAGCGAATGGTCGTTCGCTAAGTGACACCTCTAATCCGGGCTTTGCGAGAGCCCCGCTAATTTAATGTCGGAATGAATGTAACTATTCGTTCAACATTTATTCAGAGAGGCAGTAATTCACGCGGATTCCTCTGTTTTGTGAGCGCTCGCTTTGATAAAATATGGGCGGAGAGGCGATATTAATACGCTCTGGAATCGCACAACAAAAACTTATTTTGGAAAATGGGACGATTTGATGGGATTTAGCGTTTGTATAGGGGACGGGGGATCAATAAATTGGGTTGCTGCTTGAAGAAAAAAATTTAATGTTATTGTTTTTTTGGTGTAAAGAAATCCGCAAATTAATTTAGACGCGATATTGATTTCAATGCGACAAAGAGAGACTAGGAATTGGGCGAACGTATTGGTTGTAGGTTTACGCGTTAAAATAAGGTAATCTGCCTGGAATTAGTCTGGAGAGTAGTCCTAGGAGGGCACTTTCTTTACAATAGTTCCCGAGGGAGGAATATTGACTTCACGGTTTCACAACGTTTCGACGCACTTGTCCCGAATCTAATGCGTCATTTTTTACTAAATTAAAAAAAAAATACAAAATAACTTCAGCAAACAACCATTCTCAAAATAAACTCTCCAAAGCGCTCCATAATTTGTCTAAAGACAAAACAAACCCGAAAAACCTACTTTAAGCCATAATCGACTATAAATATCTTCTTGGCGCGCCGCCCCGATGCCGCGTCGACAAGCCACCCCTTCCAAAGGGTTAGGAAAAATGCGTCCTTTCGCCGAGAGATTATTATTTTGATGGACGACCCTTTTCAGGTAAACTTTATTAAATCTTCCCGGCCAAGAAATGCGCAGATTTAGCGGTACGCGCAAGCAATCTAATTGACATGTGACTGGTTATTACCGGTTTATAAGGTCCCGGCAGAGTTTCCTCCCTAATTGAATCATCGAGGGTTAATTGACGTAGCGATATATTCTTTCAGGTGGCGGAGTGTAGCATGAATACGGTAAGTGGCGCTCCGTGATCGATAAGAAGTCATCGTTTTACGTACAAGTCGAGATTCTCACGCCAGAAACTCAATTTATGGATAGACGTTTCGCATTAGTTTCCATTTTGTAGAAGCGGCAGCAGTCGGTGCGATGACAAATCGCCTAGACTTGGCTTTTTGCAGTCGGGTGCATTAGGAGACTAATTGGGGGAAAGGGGACAGTCTGTATGCTTAGGAGTCATTTCTATTTCTACTATTGGAATTTTATTGAAATAATAATAAACAACGAATTCATTTGGGTCGAACTTTCTTCTTCGAAAATTAATCCCACCGGATTGCACAACTTGTATAACACATGTAACACTTCGTCCAAGTGGTGGAAACTCCTGAGGCCAGCGCATACTCTTGATTTGATTATCCCACTAACAACTGCAAGTAGTTCATATTTACCAACACAGTAAGGGTAAAATTATTCCAAGTTATTTACTTTTTTTTTTTTGAAGTTTGATCGTTACATTTCTCTAGACAAGAACCGTTCCTTCTTTTGAGCTAAGAAAAGAATCGCAACCAAAACTAAATCGCAGAGGATCAGAACTAGATTCATTGTCGAGACATACAATTCCATTTAATTCCCAGCAGACGTTGTAATATTTATTTAAAATTTAGAGGAAATTTGGAACGATACGTTACTAATTTTTTTCGAATGTCAATATATCTTGACAAATTTATAAATAAATAAGCTTTCTAGATACTGCAGATGTTTTTTGCCCTCTTGATACGAGTATGTAAACAAGTCATTCATAAAGATTTATTATACAAGGAAAGAGTAAGATTGAATTTCTTGATATAATTCAACTATATATATTAATAAAAAACGATCCAAAGATTAGGCCCCACCCACCCACCCCGATCTCAGTTGTGATGAATTTTTCATTAGTAATTATACCGAGGGACGAAGCTTAATTGCAAAATCCATATTTTATTATATTTTACCTCTTTTTTCTTATTATACGTAATCTTCTTTGCACAACAAGAAGCTAACACATGATCAAATTGGTAAACGTTTGTAAGGAAATGTGGATTTTACAGTTACGTTCCCTCCGCCTGATAACGAATCAAGAATTTATCACAATTGAGATCGGAGTGGGTTAAAATTTTTGTTTTCTTTTTTTACTTAGTACAAATAGTTTTCTTTACACAACACGATTACTTAAGAATGTGTTTCACATGGTAATTGCTTGTAGGAAAATAGGAATTTTGCAATTAAGTTTCGCCCTCCTGTTCACGACGAATAAAGAAAATCGTCACAAGGGGTGGGTGGGCGGGGTTTATATTTTCTTTTTTCTTAAATATACATAGCTACAACAAGCAACTTAAAACACGTTAAAAATAGTAAATTTTATAAGGAAATATGAATTTTGCAGTTACGCTTCTCCTCCTGGTCTGACAAAGAATGAAAAATTCATCACAATTAAGATCGGAGCTGGTATGGGTTTAATCTTTGGCTATCTTTTTTACTTAACATATATTCCGGGTGTCTGGACAATGGCGGATTAACTCTCCGCTACGTTGTTAACAATCAACTGGTGAGTCTAGGAAAAATAGTAAAAAAATCCTTCTCACATTTTGGCGGAGTTACAATGATTTTAAATTTCGTTCTTTTGCTATGTTTAACAATTAAACAACACATTTGTGACAATTTGATAAAATTCCATTTGGCAACAATGTATACCTGATATAAAGCGAAACTACAAATCAGCAAAAATCGAGTAAGCAGTTAAAAATTGTAAAAATTTTCAAAACCCTACTTTTGTTCGCAGTTAATTCAGGTCCCCTGGTGTTTTATTTTCGGATAAATTTACAGGAATCTGGATGGATTTTTTTTTTGTAAATTATTTAAAACAATCTTGGGGGACTTGGTGTTCAATTTTTGGGAAATTATGACCTAATCTGTTTTTGAGATAATTTTGGGACCATGTTTTTTTTTGAAAATTTTAAAACAATCTTGAGGTTCTAAGTATTCCTGTTTGAAAAGAATTTGAAAGTGTTTTGGAGCCTCTAGTGTGTGAACTCATTTAATTAAATAAGAGAATACGTCATTTCACAAAATCAGCCTTATCTTAGCAGGTACTAGCAACTCCCGCCCACCCTCTCTTTTCTTAGAGCATATGTCATTTGCCAAAATCAGTTTTATCTTAACAACCACTAGCCCCACCCACCCGCCCATTCTTTTTTTAGAAGGTATCTCATTTGCCAAAATCAGTCTTACCTTAGTAGGTACTAGCCCCGCCCACCCACCCTCTCTTTTTTTAGAGGGTGTGTCATTTACCAAAATGAATCTTATCTTAACAAGTACTGATGACTAACTTACAAAAATTGATCAAAATTTGGAAACAAAGTCCTTTTCGTTCTTTTTCGTCGTTTTAGTCCTTTTTCGTCCTTTTCGTAGTTTTTCGTCGTTTTAACCCTATTTTGTCCTTTTCGTAGTTTTTCGTCCTTTGTCGTCCGTTTCGTCCTTTTTCGTCCTTTGCGTAGTTTTTCGTCCTTTTAGTTCCTTTTTCGTCATTTTCGCCCTTCTTCGTCCTTTTCGTAGTTTTTCGTCTTTTTCGTTCTTTTTCATCGTTTTAGTCCTTTTTCGTCTTTTTCGTTCTTTTTCATCGTTTTAGTCCTTTTTCGTCCTTTGCGTAGTTTTTCGTCCTTTTAGTTCCTTTTTCGTCATTTTCGCCTTTTTTGTCTTTTCCGTCCTTTCTCGTCCTTTTCGTCCTTTCTCTTAATTTTGCGTTCTGTTACTTCTTTTCGCCCTTTCCGTCCTTTTCGTCCTTTCTCCTCCTTCTCGTCCTTTTTCGTCTTTTTCGTTCTTTTTCGGCTTGTTCGTCCTTTTTCGTCATTTCTCTTCATTTCGTCCTTTTTCGTCCTTTTCTTCCTTATTCGTCCTTTGTCGTCCGTTTCGTCCTTTTTTGTCCTTTGCGTAGTTTTTCGTCCTTTTAGTTCCTTTTTCGTCATTTTCGCCCTTCTTCGTCCTTTTCGTAGTTTTTCGTCTTTTTCGTTCTTTTTCATCGTTTTAGACCTTTTTCATCTTTTTCGTTCTTTTTCATCGTTTTAGTCCTTTTTCGTCCTTTGCGTAGTTTTTCGTCCTTTTAGTTCCTTTTTCGTCATTTTCGCCTTTTTTGTCTTTTCCGTCCTTTCTCGTCCTTTTCGTCCTTTCTCTTAATTTTGCGTTCTGTTACTTCTTTTCGCCCTTTCCGTCCTTTTCGTCCTTTCTCGTCCTTCTCGTCCTTTTTCGTCTTTTTCGTTCTTTTTCGGCTTGTTCGTCCTTTTTCGTCATTTCTCTTCATTTCGTCCTTTTTCGTCCTTTTCTTCCTTATTCGTCCTTTGTCGTCCGTTTCGTCCTTTTTTGTCCTTTGCGTAGTTTTTCGTCCTTTTAGTTCCTTTTTCGTCATTTTCGCCCTTCTTCGTCCTTTTCGTAGTTTTTCGTCTTTTTCGTTCTTTTTCATCGTTTTAGTCCTTTTTCGTCTTTTTCGTTCTTTTTCATCGTTTTAGTCCTTTTTCGTCCTTTGCGTAGTTTTTCGTCCTTTTAGTTCCTTTTTCGTCATTTTCGCCTTTTTTGTCTTTTCCGTCCTTTCTCGTCCTTTTCGTCCTTTCTCTTAATTTTGCGTTCTGTTACTTCTTTTCGCCCTTTCCGTCCTTTTCGTCCTTTCTCCTCCTTCTCGTCCTTTTTCGTCTTTTTCGTTCTTTTTCGGCTTGTTCGTCCTTTTTCGTCATTTCTCTTCATTTCGTCCTTTTTCGTCCTTTTCTTCCTTATTCGTCCTTTGTCGTCCGTTTCGTCCTTTTTTGTCCTTTGCGTAGTTTTTCGTCCTTTTAGTTCCTTTTTCGTCATTTTCGCCCTTCTTCGTCCTTTTCGTAGTTTTTCGTCTTTTTCGTTCTTTTTCATCGTTTTAGACCTTTTTCATCTTTTTCGTTCTTTTTCATCGTTTTAGTCCTTTTTCGTCCTTTGCGTAGTTTTTCGTCCTTTTAGTTCCTTTTTCGTCATTTTCGCCTTTTTTGTCTTTTCCGTCCTTTCTCGTCCTTTTCGTCCTTTCTCTTAATTTTGCGTTCTGTTACTTCTTTTCGCCCTTTCCGTCCTTTTCGTCCTTTCTCGTCCTTCTCGTCCTTTTTCGCCTTTTTCGTTCTTTTTCGGCTTGTTCGTCCTTTTTCGTCATTTCTCTTCATTTCGTCCTTTTTCGTCCTTTTCTTCCTTATTCGTCCTTTGTCGTCCGTTTCGTCCTTTTTTGTCCTTTGCGTAGTTTTTCGTCCTTTTAGTTCCTTTTTCGTCATTTTCGCCCTTCTTCGTCCTTTTCGTAGTTTTTCGTCTTTTTCGTTCTTTTTCATCGTTTTAGTCCTTTTTCGTCTTTTTCGTTCTTTTTCATCGTTTTAGTCCTTTTTCGTCCTTTGCGTAGTTTTTCGTCCTTTTAGTTCCTTTTTCGTCATTTTCGCCTTTTTTGTCTTTTCCGTCCTTTCTCGTCCTTTTCGTCCTTTCTCTTAATTTTGCGTTCTGTTACTTCTTTGCGCCCTTTCCGTCCTTTTCGTCCTTTCTCCTCCTTCTCGTCCTTTTTCGTCTTTTTCGTTCTTTTTCGGCTTGTTCGTCCTTTTTCGTCATTTCTCCTCATTTCGTCCTTTTTCGTCCTTTTCTTCCTTATTCGTCCTTTTCGTCCTTTTAGTCCTTTTTCGTCCTTCTAGTCCTTATTCATCCTTTTCGTCCTTCTTCGACCTTTTCACCCTTTTTCGCTCTTTTCATCCTTTTTCGTCCTTCTCGTCCTTTTAGTCCTTTTCGTCCTTTCTCGTCCTTTTCTTCCTTATTCGTCTTATTCATCCTTTTCGTCCTTCTTCGACCTTTTCACCCTTTTTCGCTCTTTTCATCCTTTTTCGTCCTTCTCGTCCTTTTAGTCCTTTTCGTCCTTTCTCGTCCTTTTCTTCCTTATTCGTCTTTTTCGTCCTTTTAGTCCTTTTAGTCCTTTTAGTCCGTTTCGTCCTTATTCGTCTTTGTCGTTCTTTTCGTCCTGTTTCGTCCTTTTAGTCCTTTTCATCCTTTCTAGTCCTTTTCAATCAATACTTTATTGGTGTTAAAAAGTACAAATATAGTTTTACACCAGTCAAACACTAAATTACACCAATAAACTATTAAAATTCAACAATTCATAATAAGAAAAATTTTGAGCTTTTCGTCCTTTCTCGTCCATTTCGTTCTTTTCGTCGTCTTCGTCCTCTTCGTCCTTTTCGTTCTTGTCGTCCTTTTTCGTTCTTCTTCGTCCTTTTCGTTCTTTTTCGACTTTTTCGTAGTTTTTCGTCTTATTCGTCCGTTTCGTCCTTTTTCGTCCTTTTCGTAGTTTTTCGTCGTATTCGTCCTTTTCATCTTTTTGCGTCTTTTTCGTAGTTTTTCGTCCTATTCGTCCTTTTTCGTATTTGTTCGTCCTTTTCGCCTTTGTTCGTCCCTTTCGTCCTTTTTCGTCCTTTATTTATATACACAAGGCAGGAATTTTGAACATCTTCTCTAGTGTTTAGTTGGTTATACTTTAATGGATTTTTCTTTTGTTGGTTTTGTTTTTGTTTATAATTTATAAATGTCTTATTAAGTGTATTTTTTATTAATTTGTTAATGAAAAATAACAGCTTGTGTTATTAATAATAATTCACAATTAATGGCTACTGGTTGTTATTGTTATTGTCCTGAAAG